AGCGAGTCAGCTGCAGCTGGTGGTGGCAGTGTGCTCGCTGGACAGAGGCCTACAGCACAGACAAGACTGGGTTTGTCAGGTTCCTCTGGGTGGGTCATGGTTTCTTCTGCCGCCTTTGACCGCTGTGTAAGACTGGAAAGCTGTATCGGAATAAATATGAAGCTGTTTTGTAGTCCTGGAACAAAACTATTTATACCTGGAGGGCGTTATAAAGGCATAAATAATACGACTATTTATCAGTAAATGAGGTTCCAGCAGGCACGCAGATGAGTTTTGCCTGTTTGCTTTCTCCTGCTTTTGGTTAACTTTGATCCCAGAGATTTGGTTTAACTAGACAAAGGCAGTTTGCCAGTTGCAGTTTTACTGGTGGAACGTAAGTTTACTACACGCAGTGTGAAATTTCTTAATTAAAAAAAGTCTCTATACACTGCATTGAATTTGCTTTTGGCATTTTTTTGACTTCTCACTAGCATCAGCAGTCAAATACCTCATATTGTGTTCCTGAATAGGATGACAGCAATCTAGCAGTGTCGTGTACAGTGCTTCTACTAAACTTAAATTTTGAGAGGACAAGTGCTATATTATCTGTGCTCAATTTGTAGCAGATTGCTTGATAACTGCATTCCAGTTTTATTTCCCTTGGGAATCAAGGATTTGGTTGCTGCTCAGTCTTTCTACTAACCTTGTTTTGCAGAGGTTAACCAGCAGTGAAGGTGAAGTACTTTTATTCCTAACTTCTGCGGCTCATGGCAAAAGCTCAGAAATCTTCCTGTAACTTGTAAAGGCTCAGAAATCTTCCTGTAATTCTGTTAAGACAAATGCTTTAGCTGGCTGCTTTTTTATTTCTTTATTAAGACAAACTGTGGGTTTGGTGTTGGGGGTTTTTGTATACTTTTTTTCATATCTATATGTAGGCTGTGTAGTAGAACATACTCATCAGTTTAAAGTTGTTAGTTTTATTTTTCTTGGAAGAGTAAGACCCTGTCTAAACTTCTTTCAGAAGTGCTCTTTGCCTTCTCTGTTGAAGGGCCTGTTGCACACATGTTGTTGGCTGTTAGTACTTGGTGTCAAGTTTCATACACAATTTAAGCAGTGTTCGGGGCCTTGTTTTGGAAACTCCTTCTAAAGATAGAAGTACAGAGTTTAAATGACTGCTGCCAATACTTAAGGGGTTTTTATTGTATTGTGAGAGTAGGAACTGTCAATATTAACATCAAAATGATGCAAGATCAGCATCGCTGAAAAAGTGTTTTTTTTCTGCTGGAGTCAGGGGTGAAAATAAGTTATTTACCCAAACTGTTTAGTAGACAGGAACTTGGTCTTACTTGCTCTGTGTATCTCTGTTAGTGCTCAGAGATTGGTAATAAAGGGCTTTTTTTGGCTGTCGAATTGAATTGAGTCATAACCCCCACATGCAGCTCAGCGCCCAACAAGTGCATTATTAGTATGATGATACTTTTTCTTCTCATAAAGGTTCGTAATGATGTTGCTTAGCAATACAATTGCAGTATTGAATGGTGTATTAACATCCATATGGCCCTCTTTAAGAATGCTGATATCACTTCTGTGGGGCAGGGTGAGCAGACATACTTTAATTCTCTAACCCTGTGATTGATTTTGGTGACACGCCAGATCCTAATGCAATTCTTGGTTTTATTTACAGCATCGAGATGACTCAGGAGACAAACCAGACCCCAGGGCCCATGCGGTGTAGTGGAGGATGTGGATTTTATGGAAATGCTAGGACAAACGGGATGTGTTCTGTTTGCTACAAAGAGCATCTTCAGCGACAGCAGAACAGTGGTAGAATCAGCCCAATGGGTAAGGGTGTATGGTTTTGGATTTTTCCTTCTTTTGAAATAAAACATACAGAAGATGTTGAGGAATCCCAGAACAATTTTTTTCAGGAGAACTTCTGAAAGCTGAATACTAAAACGAATGAATATTGAAGAGAATAATATTCTTAAATCACAATAGAGACAAAAATACATTTCTGTGTAGTGTGTTTTGGTCTGCCTGGTGTCCAGCCATAAATTCCTTTCCCACTTAGTGTTCTCCCTGCGTTTTGGTTGCTAACAATATAGGTATAGCCTGTCTTTAGATGACAAGTAATATGCAGCAGCATTGAAGATTGTCTAAAGAGAGTCCATAGCTGTATATGAGACTATCTGACTACCACGTTTTATACAACTTGTTCATTACTAACTTGTCCAATTCTTGTTACGTAGGAACAAGCAGTGGTTCAAACAGTCCTACCTCAGACTCTGCATCTGTACAGAGAGCAGACACTAACTTGAACAACTGTGAAGGTGCTGCTGGCAGCACATCTGAAAAATCAAGGTAAGATGGGTTTGAATAAGGTAAGATAGGTTTGAGGTTTTAATGAGCTGTCAATGTGCAGGAAGTTGAAGGCCTTTTTTCGCTATGGCAGTGAGTTTCTGCAGAAGATAAAGGGAAGGTCTACCTGACAGCGCTTCATGAGTCTGGGTAAATAAGAACCGATTAAGATATTTGGTGTTGGACTGCTACATTTGAAAGGATGGGTTTGATTTATCTGGGGAAATATTTGCTAGAGGCTTGCCTGTTTTCTTCTAGGGAAACTATAAAATTAAATAAATGTGTTTTGAATATCTTAGAGGCAGAGGTCAGGAATGTTAAGTAGTGGTGATTGAACAGGTAGTTTTTTAATGTGTCTGCACAGTTTTCAGCTTTCGTTATGAATGCAAAACTTACGTAAATTTTGTTTCACTGTACTTGGACAGAAATGTGCCTGTTGCCGCTTTGCCTGTAACGCAGCAAATGACAGAAATGAGCATTTCAAGAGAGGATAAAGTAACACCGAAGACGGAGAGCGAGCCAGGTATATTTGCAGAGTAACACTGGCTACAAACAGTGACTTAACAGAAGCTGACAACTTGTTTAAGTTTTAAGTAGACATATCCTGTTGTAGTGGTGGTGTTCAACTGTTAAGATGACTCTCACCAGAATTAAGAAAAAGTACTAGTGCGACAATAGTTTTAAGATGCATGTTCTATGTTAGTAAAAAAAATTTGACAACTGTGGGGGTGGTTTTGGCTCCCAAACCCTCGTTTTAAAAGTAAGCCACTCTTAAAATTTCATTTGGGCAAGGTGTTCACTTTAGAAGTCAAAATGTTGGGATCTCTATGAATTATGTAGCAGAACTGTTCCTG